TTTCATCTAGTGCATCATCATTTTTTTTTTTTGGGGGGGGGGGGGGGGGGCAGAAGTTGTGCAGGAAGTGTTATTAAATAAGTGCATGCACTGAATTTTTCCATGTAGCTCCTGTAATGTACAGTAAAGGACATAAGCGATGGGCTGCCCAGTAACTACAATGGCAGTTTCTTAATGCCTACATGTCTATCCACAGCAATTATTTGAGTCAATATTTTCTCCATATTTTCTCCTCCAGCTGTCACGACAATATGTTACCGCCCGTGGAATGAGAGAGGATCATTCGACATTCCAGTGAACCGGTAGGTCTGAGGTGAATATTTATCTGAGGAAGCCGCGATATAAAGTCTCACCTAAGGAGGCAGGAAATGGACAGGATATTGAATTCTGAAAGATTATGTAACACTTCTGCAGGTAGCAAATGTTAAGAGTAAGCAGAATTCTTCGCCTGGGGTCACATTAAGTGATGGGGATTCAACACATGTGGCTAATAATTGGAGACAGACGGGAAAGCCATTTCAGGAGATCATAGCACACCTTGCAGCTGGGTGATTTGGGGGAACAAACAGAAAAGCCTAATTTAATTGAAATTTAGGGCAGTTTTGTTAACAAAAGCAGTTTTGTAACTACTTTTGTTAGTTTTCTCCTGGATAAAGGGACATGTTGTGTGATCATGAGCTGAAAACAGCATGAGTGAGTGTGTGTTTGTGTGTCAGTGCAGCGCTAATAGGAGTCAGGAGACCCTGTTTGGCTCCCAGCACTGAACACTTATCAGGAGCTATTGGATATTACATCGTGTTCTGTACCTGGGGGCTGCAGGATACAAGTCAGGCTTGCAAAAACAAGCATACACACACACAAACCCGACTACAAGCAAGGAATGCAGTACTCTTATTCAAGGATTTACACATGCCATTTCTGTTTCACTTGTACTCAGCACCAAAAACAAATCCCTCTCTCCATGTTTTGCAGATAAACACACCGATAAACGCCCAGCACCTCCAGCTGTGGCCAACTGGGTGGCTGAGATCAGAAGCAGAGATATCAGTGTAAAGCCTGATGAACTCTTCACTAGACCATAATTATGTCCAGTTCTCTTAGATCACTGCTCATGAAAGTTTGCACGTTCCTGTTACAGGAGAAGTGTCTAACCACCTAACATTAATACTAAGGTTGCATTAATCTAAATTTTTGCGCTATAATGTTTTGAATTCCATTATTTATATATCTCATTATTTCACCGCAAGTGTTCAAGTCCATAAAAAGTTTGGCGCTGTCTGTTTTATGATCTCGTTCAGCTGTCTGTTTACACAGCAGGAGCATTTATGATGAAATCTGTGATAACAAACTGAGTTTATCTTTAAATGAATAGCCCTAAATTTACCAACAAACAATGATGTTATTTCACAGGGTCACGTTAAGGCCATCAGTTCCAACACTGCTGCTGAGAAAATGTGTTTTCTCATGTCAAAATAGCACCGAGTGCCACACCACCCATGATGCCTACAGCCTAGGAGTGACTCACTTTTGGAGCTAGCCTTGAGTGGCCATTAGATGAACTACAGGCCAAGAGGTTGATACCAGGCTGAGCTTCTGCCATCAGGAGAGGTCAAATTTATCCACAACACTGTGTTTTTCCTCATTCTGATATTTGGCAATAACAGTAATTATCTGAAGCTCCTGACTTGCATCCCCATGATTACAGGCATTGCCCTGCTGCCGCATGATTGCCCAATTAGAGAACTGCATGAGAAAGCTGTAGTACAGGAGATCCCAGTAAAGTGATCCATGGCTATCTGTTGTTGTTATTAGACCCGTAGTCGTATTTGTTGTCCCACAAAGAAGCTTTCAGTTCTTCAGCTGAAGTAAAAGACTGCGCCAAAATGGAACTGTTAATTACAGTTTGCTGCAAATGTGTTAACCGGTTTGTTTTGCAGGTGAACAAAGTTAGTCTGTTGTGCCCTCGGTGGCTGCCTCCAAGTGTTATCTAACCACAACAACTGGATCCGACAGTTGGCCGGAGGAAACAAGGGGAGTAGTGTTTGTCTCAGAGGGGAGACTAAGGGGAAATTCTGCTCTCTGTTTAAATCACTGTCATGCTGTAATTCTCTGCAACAGAGGGCAACGCTGTATGTTGTACTTGTGTTTGAATAACATGCAATTTTTCCTTCCTATATGGTGGTTCATGTTTGTGCGATTGCGTGCATGTGAGGGCAACACACACACACACACACACACACACACACACACACACACACACACACACACGTCATTATTCTGATATTGCACACCAGTTGTTTTTTCCCCCTCATTCTCCATTATGCCGCCTCTATCCATGAATAAAGGGTTTGTTTGGATTTTCCTCCGGCTTTCCGCTGTTCAGTGTTACCCTGGTTTTGCTCTCTGTTTCCTGGCCTGGATACACAGCTGATTTCTTTTTTCTTTCTTTTTTTTTTTTACCTTAGCTTCACAAAGGAAATTATTTCTGACTAGCAGAGATGGGGGAGGAATGACAAACTAATATATCCTACATCTGAACCCGCACAGTGCAAACCATTTGAGTTCCAATATGCCCAGGCTGCTGCCAACACTTTGTTTCCACTGCCTTCTACAACTGTACAGTGAATCCTTATAAATGTCTATGGCTATTCTGTGAGATATTCAATAACTGATACGGAAGATTAGAAAACTTTTATGTGGCTTCACATTCTGCCAGAAATTCAAATCTTTCCTTACTACGCAGGGTATTTAAAGTGCAAAGCATACTAAGGTTATATCAGAGATCTTATATGATATCATAGCACAGCAACTGCTGTAGATCTACCTAATAAGAATACAGGCAGGTCTCAGATCTACATGTACTATCTCTACCACCCATATCTTTACAGTTTTACTCAGATGGCATTTTAAATATATGTCACTGGGTGTTTCCTTTCCTTTCCTAGTTCTTCAAGGTTCTTGAAGAACAGTCAAAGCTTATTGAATGTCCGCTGCCTTTTGTTCTGCTCTCTGTCAAGATGATCCCACAGTGTTCCAATACCTTTGAGATCTGAGCTCTGGGGAGCCCGGTTGAGCAACGATAGTGTTAATCCTTTGTTTTTTCTATTCAGATATGCTTTTTACTGCATTGGCAGTGTGTTTGGAATCGTCGTCATGCTGAAAAATGAAGCTTAAAATCTGATTGTCATAATTTCATCAGTTTTGAAAAAATTTCAAATGCCACTGACTTAAATGCAGCCCCAAACCACGACACAGACTCCACCATGTTTTACAGATGGCTGTACACACTCACTGTGGTACCTCTCTCCTTACAGCCTCCGTACTCCGACAAACCAAAAATTTCACATTTATATTTAGCACTCTGTCAAACCTGCTGCTTTCATTTTGTTCTTGTGTAGTTTGGCTTCCTTTCCTTAAGAATGGCTTCTTGATGGCCCTCAACTCTGAATTTATACACATGTACCAGGAATCATATGTACATCTCATTTTCTGTATCACTTTTTCAAATGTTCTTATCTAATACTTTCCCAGCTTAGTGAACACACTTATGAGCATGATTTTATTCTTCTGATGATAATTATGTGGAAGTTTCAGTAAAATCTGACCAATACTGTAGAAGTATTGATTCTTGTGAAAAAAATGGAAATGTCCCCATAAAAAGAGAGATGTAACCTTGACCAAGAGCACAGTTTGGATGAAGACCCATTAGGGGATCAGTGTGTGCAAGTTTTATTGTGAACTGTGACAGAACGGACAGATGACAGATGCTTTGCCATGGCATCAGCTCATCGGTCCTTCAACTGGATGAAATAAGAAGGGGGAATTACACTGATGATGTGGGCAAACCAGGTTATTCCCCGATTATCACCCTTCAGGACCGAAGCGACAGACGCCACAGATCTAGTTCATGACTGGCCCTTACTAATGTGAACACAAAAATAAACCTAATGATAACACATACACATGTATTGTATATGGCTCTTCCATCTATAGATAGATGAATAAATAAAGACTTTAATATCGTTTTATAAGGGTTTAACAATAATAACAAAAATAAAAAGATTACAACTTCTTCTGCTATTAATTTAACTGGCATTTCATTTCATTTCATTGTAAACTGTCGCGGTGCTCCAGTTTCCATCCTCGCCTTGACATCCCTCTGAACACACCACAGTTCCACTACTCTTCTTTTTCCTAGTAACTCAATACAAGCAGAGACTTTTACACACGCAGGTGCGCACAGACACACACACGTACACACACAAAGCAGTGTGTTTACCCCTTTTAAAAAAGGTTGTCAGAGCATATCACATCAGCAAAGTCAAGCTTGCATGCTCAGGAAAGTGGAAGGAGTGGTCTAGTTCTGCTTCCAACACCAAACGCTCAGCCAACAAAACAAATCAGCAAAGAAAAAAAAAAAAAAAACACAGGAGAGGGTTTACAACTATTTATTCAATTTGCAACTGAGGGATGGAGATGGGGCTGAATTCTCCTAAAGCACAATGTAATTTCCTGGTGGATGTTTGACCACAAAGTGAGACCAGAGTTGTTGTGGAGAGACACGCTAAAGGGTATGAAGAAAACGAGCGTTGTTTTGGCGAGGGGAAAGGGGTGAAAGAGAGGGCTAACCATTTTTTTCTTGTGGTCTACGGTATGAGGACAATTCATAGGCAGCATGAGGAAATTGCTTGCTTGCGTATAGAGAATTAGGGAATTAGGGCCTTAAAAAGGTTGTGGCATGTAACCACAACCTGCAGAAAATATTGTGCAATCTATAGCTGGCATAATATGTCCATATGTTTACGTCAATGCAGAAATGAGAAGCTGGAAAAGAGGTGGCCTGTGTGGCTGAGCTGATTGAAAATTGTTAAAAGGCTGCCTTCAATAACATTCACTGCTGACAGTTTAGCCCTAAACTGTGGGTTCAGGCAGCCAGTCAATATAGGGCCAGCCAAAGATCAGAGCCCATGTACGAAAAAGGACGGCAGAGGCCAACTCACCTTCTTCTTGCTGCAGTAGATCTGCCATTTCTTCTCATCGGGCAGAGCAAACATGGCCTCCCGGTTCTTGTCTGTCAAATCCAGCTCATCCTGCAAAAAACAACAACAAAAAAAGAAGGAAAAAAGTTTGTTTTTGTTTTGAATTCAAAATTCAAATTTTATTTGTCACGTACACAGTCATACACAGTACGATATGTAGTGAAATGCTTGGACAACTGCTCGTGACCTAAAGAAAACAAAAAAGGAAAAGGCTATGAATAAGATAGGAAATAAATATGAAAAATTAAAAAGGGTAAATTTAACTAGGAAGGAATAAAATATAAATTAAGGTTAAAAATGAAATAACTGTACAACACAAATTAGAATGAAGGGTAAATTTAACTGGGAAAGAATAAGAAAAAATATATAAATTAAAGTTGAAAATAAAATAACTGTACAACAAAATACACAATATAGAACTATATAAGAATGCATGAAGAAATATAAATAAATATATACACAATAACAGCAGCTGTACAAATATTAACTGGAAATGAGGAATATAATGTCCAGTGTTGTGCAATCCACATTATGTCTTGTGCAGTGCAAATATGCTTGGAATAAAATATCCCTGGAATGAATTTGATGCTACTGATATATTTCAGTAACAGGGACAGTGGCATGCTTCCCACTACATGTCATCACATCTTCTTATAATAATACCCTATGAGTGGGAACTGAGGAGACTATTTGCTGAAGTTCTTTAGCCAAATTTCCCCCCATTCAATTTGACATAGTATTTCAGCTGCTTCTTTTTATCACAGTTTTTATCACAGCCAGACTTTTTACAAGCAAGTATGGATTGCAAGTAGTTTAGAACTCATGTTGGAATACAAGCAGAAGGTTTTGTATGGTCTTGCTGAAATCCAGAATGTCTCAAATACACAATGTCATCCCTGAAAAACACATCACCGGGATGGGCAGCCATGTAGCATTAATGGTGCCTTCGCACATTTACAAGTTACTCATTCAATGTGCATAAACACCCACCCCCACCCCATACAATCATAATGTACACTTTGAATTGTAAGCTAATAACAAGGCTCTGCTTCTCTTCAGCATCTTTGACTGTCAAATAGAATTTAAGATTCTGGTTGGTCAGACTAGAGGGCAGTTTTCCACTTGGCCTCCACCTCAAATGAGCTCAGGCCCGAAACGAGCCTCAAATGAGCTTCCATGCTAGAGGTTGACATTGCATTTGCGGATGTAGTGATAAAATGTGATGGTTTGCAATACAGACATTTCTAGCCTTTATTGCCTTGTTGTTTTGTTCTAGTATCACATTTAAAAATACTTTCCAAAATATGGCAGCAATTTTTTTTTTCCCAGTGTCAACATTTGATGTTCTTGAAGAAAACAAACAAGAACTTCCAAATGATTTGCAAACTATTGCGTTCCTTTTTTTTTTAACATTCACCACAGCACACATCCCAACATTTCAAAACAGGCTCGTGTTTTTATTGCAGCTCATCAAGAATAAATGTGCAGAAAAACAGTGATTAAGAATAAACAAACATAACAGCCCAGTAGCATTTAAAGACTGACATAATATAATCAACCCGTCCCTCAGGACACATTCCTAGAAGCCCTGTTGTTTCCTTATCCCTATAACAATACAGACATTTAAGCAATGAGTCGAGTTTACACAGCCACATTTAAATCTCCTTCCCACAGACAAGTGTTTTAATATTCATCCTGCTGCTCTACTCAATTCTTCAGCTCAGTACAAGGAGCCTCCTGCACCTTTTGAAATGCATATGAGCCCAGGAAATGAGTCTCTGTGTGCCAGGGGAGGAAAAGTTTAAAGGAAGGGGAGTCAGATGAAGGAAGGACGCAGAAAGAGAAATGCATTCGGGTTAGAGACCCGGAGGCTATGTGGCTCTGGAAATGGGCTGGCACAGAAGAGACAACTAGAGGCTACATCACCAGGGCTTTGTGCTCCGGCTCAGGCTAATCTCACCATAATAGTTTTGCTACGATGACGTAAACGAGAAGAGGGCGAGCCTCCTGGGGCCCCTGGAATGAAGATGACCACCAGTGGCAGAGGTGGGGCCTCTTTAAAGCCGACCAGCAGATTCGCAGGGTTTGCTTTCATCGCTTTTCAGCAGGATGGGCTGAGGTGGCCCGCATTCCAAGAATCGGACACTATGAAGGATGACATCATCTCTCGTCCTTTCAATGGGCTAACCAGCAGTAGCATTATTGTGGGTTTGAGAGGAAAAAAAAAAAAAAGGGAAAATCCGATGGGTGTGAATTTCAAGAGGGTCTATTACAAGTAGAAACCACAATGAAGCCTTAGAATCTTTAGTTCAAGTGGCTTTCATCTCAGCAGCATGATTCACACCCAGAGCTCATCATCGTGGGTCTACAGGGCCGGCTGTATCAAGGGGGAAGCTCACCCCAAAATCTGATTTACATATTTGTCCTCTGGTCTGTAGCACACTCTACCCATATGTATTTTTTATTTTATTTTATTTATTTATTTGGTGATTACCTTGTGAACAATGTCACAGAGTGACAAGTGTGGAGACCTGACAGTCACATTCACACTTACAAGCAATTTTGAATCACCAAAATGCACGTCCTTGTGCCGTGCAAGTACAGGGAGACTACAAACTCTAAACAGAAAGAGCCCCAGCTAAAATCAAAAAACATAACTCACATTTAAATAAATGGCTTAATTTGCTATTACATACATTAAAAAGAAAAAATATTTTTTCATTTGTAAAATGGGACATAAATTGATATTTCTGTCACCATTTGGGTCTTTATTCGTTAAGCAGACACAAAAACAAGTGTGGAAAGGAAGAAACCATGGGCTACAAGAAAGCAGCTCATTCTGGCCTGCCGCCTGCTCGCCGGGTCAAAGCCCTGCTGTCCAAGCTGTTGGTCTTTGGAGGAGCTAATGCAGAGAGCCGGTGGGGAAATCATGAGAATGAGACCCGTGGATTTGAACCAGATGGCAGTTGAGCCTGTCTCAGTTCATAGCTGACCTCTGTGCTATTTTGTGTTCTCCGCATAGACTCCTCAGGCCTCTCAGTTTAAGGTCTTATATGGAAAGAAATTATGTGAGAAGAGCATAGATTACAATAGTATTCCATTTAAATATAATTCATTGATTACATAAGACTTTATGAACAGGATAATGTTGACTTCTCAGGCTCTGCCGGTGCTGTTCTGCGTCAGAATCGAGGAAAAGGGAAAAAGAGATGAAGTTGAAAATGAGGACATCGACTGGGTGTAGGAATGTTCATGTCATGCCAGCTGTAAGGAGGACTTTTCACTTTCCAGTTATGCAATTTCCCATCGTGTTCCCCCCCTCCATCACCTTTAAAATGTGCTCCAATACCACATCCACATCACATGGCATCTCCTGACCAGTACAACACCCAAAGAGCATGCGGTCCCTTTCTCATTTTTCCAAAACAAAACCAAACTACTTTCCACTTCATGAAGTACCCCAGTCTTCTCACTCCAGCAAGCTTCAGTTGGAAATTCAATAAAAGCAAAGCTAATATTGTTACACCTGCTGTCTGAGAGGGGAAAATACATACCTAAGGCCTCCCAAGCCCTTCTTTCATATTTCACCCCGAGCTCCCCATCTAATAATATGACAAATTTATTTATTTTTTAAGAAGTGCTACAGTTGCAATCGCCGAGTGTCATGCAGGCATGCAGACAGATAGCTCTGTCACTCAATTTCCTGTTTCTAAAGACTGTTGGGCTTCTCAAATGTCCTGAGATAAAATGAAAAGGAGTGGAAGTTCCCAGACAGTTATTCAAAGCAAAACTATTTCCATATTCAGCATACAAATGAAGAAAACTGGATTTTTAAGAGCTGCACAATGAGAACAAATATAGAAACAAGGCATAAAAAGGACAGAGTAAGGTGCAATGAACGAACAGTTCCTTCATCATAGATGTCAGGTGACATGACATCTGGATCACAGCTGCTGTGACCCATAAGTTAGCGAAGTCTCAAACTAACAGTTTTTGCTATCATCATCATGGTGCTTTGAATCCAGATACCATGACAGCAGGGCAGAACTGACTGTGTTATCGAGGGACACTGAATGCTCACCCTGTGTAGCCTCCTTCATCCTTTAAAGGTGACCATGGGACAAAATGCAAGAGTGCAGGTTTTCAGGCACTTCCACACTTTTCAGGCCTGGAAAGAGCACCTGAACCATGCCTATGTGCTGCAGTGATCTACTCTGTAGCCTGGTCTTTTTAGGCAAGGTGTGCATTAGCTTTTCGCTAACTAATCATAGCTAATGAAGGCAATGACCTTTGCTTTAATAATCATTTCATTTCCCCAGTGGCAGCATTATTTAAACATCCAGATAGGAATATGAATATAGCAGTATTTTATTTTATGACATCAGTATGAGAGGAGAGAGTCTCCAGAAAATATGTAAAATGTAATGTGTAAAATGGATGTAAAGTAGATTTCAGTGTTTTATGGGGATTGCAAACACCCAAACTTCCTGTCTACTCAGTTTCCATGCCAGTCATGTAATGGAACAAATGAACTTAATTAAAAGGTATTATTTAAATCGTCCTAACCTTAAACTGACAACAACACAACTATTCCTTTAAAAAACAAAAAACAAAAAAAAAAACAGATTAGGAGTGATGCACAAACTTAAGCGAACCTAAAGCAAATAGATGCAGAAGGTTTTCCAATACTGCCAGCAATCGTAATGATGAAGATATCGTTAAACATTTGGCACATATTGAGACTTCTACAGCAAGATAAAATTAATTTGTATGAAATAACACACGTCAGATGATTCAAACACGTCTGCAGGGACTTTGAATTATTTATCTCCACCATATGGGAAGAATGTAAAATAGGACAGAGGGATGAGTCATGCGATTGAAGTCTAAGCTGTGTATGAAACTATGAAAGCCGTACCGCTGCAGGAGAACGTTAAGTGAAGAGAAATTAAGTGTGGGAGTGGAGGCAGAGGGTACAGACCAGAGAATGGGAGCGAAAAAGGTAATGAAAGACATTTTTTTAACTAACAACTGACCTTTTAAAAATATTC